TGTCAGAAGCCCACTGGGAAGATCCCAAATGGTGATCACATAACCCTGACATGACTTATCAAATGGTCAAGCACACCCATTTTGTTCATGTGACCATGGAGACATTGTACTAGTCGTAAACGCAAGGACTGTTGTAAGCCACATTTTTCAATGTCGTCATAAATTTGAATGGCCTTTAAACCTGAGCATTTTATGATCCCTGGGCTACATCTGGTCTTTTGGCTGTGTCTGTCTAGCCCATATGTGATCAACTGGAAATTAGAAAACAAATGTAAATAAATATATATCATGCACACAATACAATTTCACTTCTTTTATTTTGAAGGCAGCTATTTTTTTCAAATTTACATAGATGTGTGCACATCTATGCCTATGTACCTTCACAACCCTATTGGTTTGGACCTCCACAACAGTCCCAGTTTTTCATAATAGTCCCTTGAAAAACTTAATTTCCCACCCTGCATTAAATAAGTAGTCATAAATTGAGGACTAAAAAGTTATGTAGTTATAATATTATTGCAAATTTTGTAGAAAGAAAGGGAGAAGGAGAGGAGAAAGAGGTAGATAGAATGATGTGATAAATTAAAATGAAAGGAGGAGAAAGAAAAATTGAGACCATAGGAACATCAATGAATATGGATGGATGGGCATGTCAAGGCTTACAACTTCCTATGGCAGTTAATACTGATCTAATGAGTGATTGCTAGAATATATAGTAATACGGTAGAAATGAAAATGGGGCAAAGTTATTTTCTGAGATGATGCAACTGGAGCCATGACAGACTGATGAACAGGTGGCATTCAAAGAAATTAACAAAAATAAAATACTAGAAAAATATATTAAAAACACAACTTAAAAAGGGTAGTATCCTGCATCAATCATTAGATGGTTACTCTAAAATAGTTAATACCAGCTGGCCATGTAGATTTAAAAGAGTAGAAGATATCCAAACAGCAACTCTGGATCTTCAGGGATATGTAATTCTAACCTGTACAGGATAAATCCATGTACATTGATCTGTCTTTCAATTATCAGAAATACATGTTTATCTAAATTATCATAAGTAATTTGTTTATTCCCATTGAATGTATCATCCTCAATCAGATTTTAAACTTCCTTGGATTTTTATATATAGCTTATAAATACATTTATCATATGTTGGTTTCCTTAGATGTATCATCTGCTTGAAAGGACAATGCTCTTCAAATAAATATGATCCCACCTCATCCCATCCTGCAACTCACTGGGAAAAATAGAGAGAAAAAATGTAAGTCAAACAAAAATCTAGTGCTACATTGACTCTCCCTATATTTTCAAAATAGGATTGCTAATCTCAATGTAATAAAATCCTGCATTCTTGATTCCAATTATTCAATAAATATGCACTCTGTATCTTTGTCTATGTATGAATGCACTTGCCTAAAGCCAAACTCCAGAAAAAAGCCAAGCTCAGGAGGAAAAAAATAAATTAAATGAATTAATATTCAGTATTAATTAAAATCAATTATCTGTAAAATTAGGTAATTTATTTATTTAATCCTCATCTGATTATATACCGTATATACTCGAGTATAAGCCGAGTTTTTCAGCCCACTTTTTGGGCTGAAAAAAGCCACCTCGGCTTATACTCGAGTCAGTGAAAAATTTGCCCGGCACAAGCCCCGGGAACGAGTGGAAGTTCTCTGTGCGAGGTGAAACGGCCTGCAGCCGCCTCGCTCTCCTGCCTCTCCGTTCCCAAGCAGCCCCGTCCTCTCCTCCTCCCTCGGTCCTTCCCGCGGCCGCCTCGCCAAAATCTCGCTCTCCCCCCCCCTGCTTCGGCCGCCGCTGGCCATCCCCCAGCCGCTGCAGCCGCCCCCCCCTCCTCCCTCCCTCCCCCTCGGACTCCTCTTCCTGCCCCCGCCGCCTCAGCTTGGAAGGGCCGGGAGAGCAAGAGAGAGAGAACGGGGGAATCTCTCGGGGCTCGCCAGAGCGCTGCTCCTTTCCCAGAGCAGAGAGAGAGAAGGAAAGAAGGGGGGGGAGAAAACTGGGTGCCCGAGCTCTTTCCCCACATCCCTATGCAGCGGGGAAAGAGAGGTCACTCCCAGTGAAGTGTCGCCCCCACGCTCGCTGCTTCTGCTGCAGCCACCCGAGGCTGAGACGGGATGCGGGGTTTTGACAGATGCCCGTTTCCCCCTCCCCGCGCCCGAGCCCTTCCCCCACATCCCTATGCAGCGGGGAAAGCTCGCTGCTTCTGCCGCAGCCACCCGAGGCCGAGACGGGATTCCCCTCTGCCAGCGCTGGGCAGCAAAGCTGAGATGTTAAGCTCACTCCCTCTTCTTGCAGCACGCCCCGATGCGAAAAACGCCAAGATCCCGCACACTTGGGGCTGCTGCAATGTCCAGGGAGGCTCAGCTGGTCTGAGTAGGCAGGGCAGGGGTAACGCGGTGCCCAGCTCAGGTGCTCTGAGCAGGGGGGGAGCCACCCCCTCTGCCAGTGCTGGGCAGCAAAGCTGAGATGTTAAGCTCACTCCCTCTTTTTGCAACACGCCCCGATGCGAAAAACGCTGAGATCCCGCGCACTTGGGGCTGCTGCGATATCCAGGGAGCTCCAGGATGACTGAGAATCCCCCGTGTTATTCCAGATAGGATAGAATATTGCCTTTTCCACTTTTTCCATTCCCCCCAATGGCGGTTAAGAATCGGCAAAAATTTGGGGCGTGTGTCTGTGGGAGAAAGAAAAGAAAAGAAAGGAAAAGGAAAGAAAGGAAAAGAAAGGAAAAAAAGAGAAGAAAAGGAGGGGAGAAGAGGGGAGAAAAAGGGGTTTGTTTTAGAGTTGATAAAGCTTTAAGAGTTTGGCGGCAAGAGGATTCTGAATGGATCCCGAATGATCGGGACTCGAAACAGCTCTATTACGTCCTGCTTTTTGTGGGGGGGAAAGAGAGAGAAAGAGGGAGAGGGAAAAAATTTTGGGAATGGCCATAGCCTTCCTCATCTGGATCCTGGAGCGAAGCGCAAAAAAGCACAAAAAAAGTGTTGGGTTGGGTTTTTTTTGGATACTCTGATTTTTGTCTCTCTCGTTACTGTTTTCAATTTAATTCTTTTTTTCCCCAGTCTTTTTTTAAAAACTGAACGCTTCTACCTCCACCCCTCCTTCGCCGTCTGCCCCGAGGAGTTTTGGAGTGGAGTGGAGGAAGAGGGTTTGAGGCGCGGGGATGGAGGTGGTCGCCGCTGAGTCCCCCTGCCCGGGTTCCGGCGGAGAAAAGAGGACGGGATGGGGGGGGATCGGCTGGCCAAGACAGCGTAATCCCCCGCTTTCCAAGCTCTTTTCCACTTACAGAGCTAGTTTACTGTTTTTCTTTGAAATAAATATTCAAAAACATTATTGGTATCTATTTTTATTTTTGAAATTTACCGGTAGCTGCTGCATTTCCCACCCTAGGCTTATACTCGAGTCAATAACTTTTCCATTTTTTTTGTGGTGAAATTAGGTGCCTCGGCTTATATTCGGGTTGGCCTATACTCGAGTATATACAGTAAGCCATTATTTCATTGACATAGATTAAAACTCTTCCAGAATAGAACAGAAAAATAAAAACTACAGTACAATAGAAATAGGATAGCAGGAAGGGGTATGTACACTAGAAAAAATGGAAAAGAGTTACAGATCTTGATGAAATGGGGAGGGGCACGAAGTAATTGGATAAGGGAGCAAATGAGAGAGGGAAGCCCCATTTACCTATTCTTAATTTTTTAAAAAAAGAATGTTTAAACATTAGGCAAAAAGCCCCTTTAGTCCAATCTACTCAGGAGCTAAAAGTCCACTCTGCAAAAATCCATAAAGGATTTTCAGTTCCTGAGCAAAGAGATTATCACAATAAATGTGGCATGCACTAACTCCCTCACCTACCTGAGACACCCTGTGTCCTTCACCTTCCCACATTGCCTCCCTGCTAGTATTTTGGCTCCCTCTCATCTCTAGGACCTGGATGAAAGTGCTACCTGCCAAAGGAGTTCAGCTCCCTGTCATGTATGAAAAGGAATTCCTTTGGTGGAGCTTCAGTTGAAAAGAGCTTCCAGATATGAGAGAGTAAGCAACTAGCAACCTTCCCTGATGGCATTACCATTGAGTTTCTAGAGAAGCCAACAGACAAGATTGCAACTTGTGATCACATGATCACAGGACACTTGGCAACCAGTCATAAGTGAGAACAGGTTACCAAGTGCCCAAATTGTGATAACATGACTGCAAGACATTTTGTGATGGCCAAAAGTGCTTTATAGGCTGTAAAGCACCCTTTCCAAGGCCATCATAATTTCAGACCATTCTTATATGAAGGTTTAGGACTATCTGTGGGAAAAAAAGATTGGGTCTCATTGTTAGATGCTATTTTCCATTATGGTAGTATGGTATGTGCCAACCCATTCTACTGGGCTCTAGCCCCTGTTTATTTAAATTCATTCAAAATTTTATTTGTTATTTAGAATTACTTTATGCCCTACTAAATAACTGGCACCACATCTAAACAGGAATAGCACCATGGTTACTATGGGTATCTTGAAATTTGGATTTCCAAATACAAGATGTCACTCCAAAGAATACTCTAGGAAAATCCCAGCATAATCCTTGAAAATTGCATCCCTTCATATATGAACATTCAGGTTAGAAAGATAGCAAGTTGATGTACATATCTGGGTTTAGAATCATGAATGCAACTGCTCTCTTAGGTCTCACCTATTACTGTAGAAAGAACTTAGGTAGGCAAAACTGATATCACTGTGTCACGCATATCAAATCAGAATCACGATTATTCACTGACTGGCTCTTCAGCAAAACATTATAATAGCTAGTCTGTTCAACTGTTTTATTGACAAAAGTAAAACAGATACAGGACAAATACAATACAATTCTAGTTAACGTAAGCTACGGAAGTCAGGCAATCATTAGTGCAGTTTTGGGAGGGGGGAATTGAGGATGAGAATCTTTATTTAACAATTTTAATTTATTAATTTAAGTTCCTTACCAGTCAATTTCTTCATAGGCTGCAGTCGAACACTGATAGATTGATGTGTTAGTAATGGGGAAGATGGGAGAGAGCGGGACATGCCTTCCATAATTCGAATGTGCTGCATACCTTCAGGCACTGTGAGTGTTGGGATAGCATACTCTGGTTCAAAAGCACAATCGTTCTCTGCACAACTGCCACCTAAGAAAAATAATTTCAAAAAGTGTTATTAATATAATAATGAACGGGCATCTAGGGGACTTTATACTTTACACTAAATTAGGAAAAACATTTTAAGAAGCTAACTTATTTCCCAATCTGTTAAGAAATCTTATTAAATTGCATTCTATAGTATAGGAAATCAAATTTAATTATTGTTTTCTTTAGTACTGTGTAAAAAGTACTCCCTAAGCATAAAAAGAACTCCCTATTTGCCTGTAACTGTAGTTCTTCAAATGCTTATCACAGATATATGACATATATGGGTTCTGTAACTACAGAATAGCAAATTCAAAATATTCCAGAACAAAGATTTTTGACAGCTTCCCTCCTTACCTCATAGCATTATATATGAATGAGACTCCTATCCAATCTCTCAGTTTCAATTATCAACACAAATAAAACCATCATACTGTTTCAAACTCTATCCAGGGAGACAAGAGGTTGTGTCAAGTTGTGCTGATCTGAACTACTACTATTAAAGGTAAGAAATCAGTTCTTCTGTCTGTTACATAAATGGGTGATCAGCACAAATTGCACTGAGTGGCAGACTCAAATGATAATGGGAAAATACTGAGGAAAGAAAAATGTGCCAGCATTGCCTCATACTGAAACCAATGATTCAGATAACATCTTATAAGTGAATAAAATTGAGATCAGATAACCATTAGACAGATCTCAGAAAAGAAAATATTTCTCAAAATATTTCTGCACACATGTCAAATGGCAACAAAGTGCATGGCCAAATAATAACACTACAATGGTGGTTTGACCAACGGAAAACCACTGTTGGGTAACTGATTTATTTTCAACCTGTTTTGAAAAAGGCTTAGTTAGTCAGCCTTTGAGACAATGAAAGGAAGAAAATATTACTCCACAGAATTAATTTCAAGAAAACACCAATACAGTAAAGAGATGCCAATGAAATTCTGAAACTGCATTCAGGAAAAAAAAAAAGCTAAATAGTTCTTTGCCCTTAAGAAATATCAAAGTTCATCAGGTTAAAAAGAACAAGATGACATGTCCTGAGCAAATTTAACAGAGATACAGATACTTCTCAACAACCCTAACTGGGAGCAGAATTTCAATTGCTAAGAAATACAGTCATCATGCAAAACATCATGTGACTGCATCATTTTGCTATGCCAATTTTGGTAACCCTGGTTGTTACCAAAATTGATTGCACCATTGTTTGGCAAGGACTTCATGCTTCTCCTGTTCTGCTCAGTTCCACTTGCATTTCCACCACCTACCATGCCTGCCCTTCTGGCCACCTTGCACTCCCCCAACCCTGCTGGCCTATGCTCCACTGATCCTGCCACCTGCACTCTGCCACTCCCACTACCTCATTCAAGCTCCTGCTCATCTTGACCATCTTCTTCCTCTCAGAGCTGATGTCAAAGATACAGGGCAGAGTG